GCTGCTATGAACACAGGTGTACAAATATCTCTTTGAGACCCTGTTTTCAATTCTTTTGGGTGTATACCCAGAAGTGGGATTGCTGGGTCATATGGTAATTTTTTTTTTTTTTTTTTGGTGGCTGGGGTTACAACCCTGGGTCTTGAGGTTATCAGCACCATGCTCTAACCAACTGAGCTAACTGGCCAACCCTGGGTCATATGGCAATTCTATATTTCACTTTTGGAGGACCTGCAGGCTTTTGAGAGTGATCTGACAGCAGGGTCTCCCCTGTGCATCATTTTTGCTCAAGATCAAGGCTGTGCCGATGGTCCCTGGGGGTGTCCACTGCAGCAGAGCCTCCTTTCTGTCTCTGTGATGGGGACACAAATTAAGGAGCTGACTCACTGGCCTCCCCTGCTGGGTGGTTTCCTTTCAGTGGGGGAGGGGGGGGAGGAAGCAGACCTTCCCTTGACTCCTCAGAGACCCTCTGCTTGATGACACAGCTTGCCCAGGTCCTTGCCAGCCTCACACAGCTCCTCTGTCTGGTCCCAGGATGGCTCTGTTCTGAATATATCTCCCCTGCCGGAGGAGTCCAGCCAAGACCAGCTGGCCAACAGGAAGGACCTCCCATGGGGTGCACAGTTCGAGCTGCCTCCGATGCTCCTGGAGAGAGACAGGTGAGAGGGCTCCTGTCCAAGCCTCCTTTCTGCAGCCCTGCTCCTCAGAGCTAGGTGAGCCTGCCTGGGGGATTGGAGGCAGGATGCCAAGAGTCCCAAATCCCGGCCCAGCTCAGCTTACACGTGACCCTGGGCACATCTCAGAGCCTATTTCCTCTTTTGTGAAGGGCATCTAATATCCCCTCCCTTGCTAGGTTGTTTTAAGAATAATAAAGACATCCTAGGAGATGCTCACTGCCTGGATCCACCAGGAGGATAGGGAGTTTGATGCTAGAAATGCCCTTTTCAATTTTGTGTGTATCTTTTGTGCAAAAGTTTTTCGTTCGGCAATAGCCTTACTTCTACCCTCAATGCTTTCCTCCCCTTCTCTCTGCTTTTTTACTTTGTATTTGATATTTTCCAACACTGAAACTTACCCTAGTAAAGCGAACACCCATAGACTCATAACCTAGATTTAATAGTTAGCATTTTCCCAATTTGTGTCACTGTTTAGTCGGCTTGGGTTGCCATGACAGAATACCATACACTGGGTGGCTTAAACAACAGACATTTATTTCTCACAGTTCTGGAGGCTGGAAGTTGGAGATCAGGGTGCCAGCAGGGTTGGTTCCTGGTGAGGGCCTTTTTCCTGGCTTGCAGACAGCTACATTCTCACTCTGTCTTCTCATTAGGGGCATGGGGAGAGAGCTCTTCCTCTTCTTATAAGGCAACCAATTTTATCCAATTAGGGTCCCACACTTATGACCTCATTTAACCTTAATTACCTCCTAAAGACTCTATCTCCAGATATAGTCACATTGGGGGTTAGGGCTTCAGCATAAGAATTGGGGAGAAGGTACCAATTCAGCCCATAGCAATCATCTATTTCTTGCTTACGTGTTTAAAGTAAAATGCAAATATCATTTTGTATGTGGGCATTCCACCCCTATATACTAGTATGCTATAGTGTGCTAGTATATACTAGTTCTAAAACAGGGACATTTCTCTCCAGAACCACAATGCAGGTATCATTGCCAACAAAATTAGTGATACTTCTTTGATATTATCTCATATCCTACCTATAGTCAAATTTCTCCAGTTTTACCCCCAGATGACTTTTTCAGCTGGTTTGTTCAGACCAGGATGCATTGAAGGCCCAGCACTGTGTTTAGCTGCAATGTCCAGGTCTAATCCATCACCTTTGGGGTAATGAAAACACTAGGCTCCGGGCAGAGGATGGGTGATTCCCTTAGTGTGTGTGTGTGCATGCATGCTAGTGTCTCTGTGTGTGTTTTGTGTGTATGTTTGTGCATGTATGCATACACACATTTGTGTGCATATATCTGTGTGCATGCACACGTATGTACCACATGTTTGTGTGCATGTGTGTTCTATGTATTAGTATGTTGTGCATACATGTGCACTTATGTTTGTGTGAGTGGATGCATGTGTTTGTATATGTGTGCGCGTGCACATGTGTTAGTGTGCGTGTCTGTGTGAGTGCGCGTGTGTGATACGTGTTAGTATGCAGTGTGTGCATGTGCAGTTGTGTGCATGTGTGTTTGGATGTGCATACGTGTGTATGTAAAAACTGCCTACCCCCCCTTATCAAGACCGGATGCCTCTCCCACCCTGTGAACTTGCTGCTCCACCTGTTGATTGGAGAATATGTGCATACGTGTGTATGTAAAAACTGCCTACCCCCCTTTATCAAGACCGGATGCCTCTCCCACCCTGTGAACTTGCTGCTCCACCTGTTGATTGGAGAAGAGAGTGTCAACCCCACTGTCAGAAATAGATGCTCAGATATGGGGCTGCTTGTAGGTCCACTGTGAGAGAGCCTGGGGCTCCCCAACCCCCAGTCTAGAGAGGAATCAGGCCTCCCCCTCACCTCTTTTAGAATGTACCTGCAGCAGCATCCTGGACTGTGGCGAGACAGCAGGCTGAGCCCCCTCCCAGCCATGAGCTGGAGCTCTGGCTCCGTGTCCAAGGCAGCAGAAGAGGAGCTGTGTCTCCAGCTGAGGTGCCAGCCGTGACCTACCTCCAAGGGGTCAGGGCCCATCAGCCTCCCAGAGCATCACTGTGTTTGCCAACCAGGAGGTTACTTCAAGCCTTTATGTCCAGAATTTTTAGTGGAATTTTATTATGTGGGCATGACTGATTATATCATTAGCCAGGTGATTGAACTCAATCTGCACACCCTTCCCTTCCTGGTGGGAACCCTTTAATTGTGTGGTTGATCTTTCTGGTGACTAGCCCCTATGCTGAAGCTCTCTAGGGCCCACTAGGAGCCACCTCATTAGCATAACAGAGACATTCCTATCACTTGGGACATTCCAGCGGTTTTGAAGGCTATGCCAGGAACCAGCTATAATCTTTATTGTACCACACTTCCCCAGTGATGTCTGTTCTGACTACCTAAGGAAGTCCCTTCCTATGCATCTCTGTCCCATTTTCTTCATAGCAAGTATCACAATGTGCACTTGTCCACACGTCCTTTTGCTTATTTGATATCTGTATCTCCCCTTAGGTGTAGTATGGCCCACGGTAGGTGACCAGTGTATATACATTGGATGAATGAGCCCAGCGTGGCCTCAAACCACAGAAGCTTGGCAGAGGCCACTCACCCTGATCCGATGAGTAGGCCACAGCCCACATGGCTGGAGTAGCAGCCAGAGGCTCAGGCTGTGGTGAAGGATGTGGGGGTCCTGACAGCAGCTCTGCTGACACTTGTGTTTCATCCACAGTGATGGTTACAAAGCATCGAAAGCCACACCATCAAAACAACTGGGAAAGCAGGATGCTCTTCTCCCTCCTCCATCCCTCCACATCCTGCTGACTCCTCCAGGTCACGAGGTTGGTGTGTGCAGCACTAGCCAGGGCCCTCCCCCTTCCCCAACAGGGTCGTTGGTGTCCCTGTCAGTGACTCAGTGACTGACCCTCTCATGTGCCCTCTTACTCATATCCTGGGGCCCCAGCTGCCTCTCCACTCTGAGTACCTGAATTTTCTGTTTTTCCCCCCCTTTCTTTTTTTTGCAAGATGACCAGTAAGGGGATCTTCAAGATGACCGGTAAGGGGATCTTAACCCTTGATTTGGTGTTGTCAGCACCACGCTCTCCCAAGCAAGATGACCAGTAAGGGGATCTTAACCCTTGATTTGGTGTTGTCAGCACCACGCTCTCCCAAGTGAGCCACAGCCGGCCCCTTTCCCCTGCTTTCTTTCCCTCCCTTTATCGTGTAGATTGGTCTAGCCTCACTCCCAGAAAGCAAGAAGTCTCCCCTTTGGGGGGGTAGGGAAGGATAGGCTGTGGGAAACCGAGTGGCAAATGCAAGAATCTCTTTGGCAGATGGGTGGGCTTGGGGAAAAGGAGAGAGCTGTGAGGATTCACAAGTTAGTAATTTTGGTCTTCTTGTATGAACTATTACTAAGAAGCTATTAGTACTTTTTATTATAATAATAGTATAAGTGAGTGGGCTCCGGATGGTTCCCTGACCCCTCCAGGGAGTGGGGGTGGGGTGGGGGGTGAGGGGCACTGTGCTGAGGGATTTATGCCCCCACCTCCCTCCGGGGTAGGGGATGGCCCTGCGGCCTGAGTGCCACACTCTCTCCTGGGGTATCCCCATGAGAGTAAACACCATTACCAGGGCAGGAACGGGCTTAGTTACGTCCTTCCTTGGCCCTTGTTCCATGCCCCTTCCCCACAGTCTTTCACCCTAATAAAGTACTTGCCTTGGGTAATCGTCTCTGGGTTTGCCTCTGGGGACCCAACCTGGAACAACAGCAGCAGCCTGGTGGCATCTGACCATCCTGCCGCCGGTGCTGATTTCCTGCAGAAGCTGAGCTCCCTGAGCATGAAGAGCTTGGTCTCCAAGCTGTACCCCACAACTGGCCTGGATGGCCCAGCCCTGAGCACTGAGGTCCTCCAGGAGATGGCTGTGGGCACCAAGAGCATCGCCCTCATCGCGGCCAGTCGGCGCTCCAAGGTGCAGGACCAGGAGGGCTGCAGCGGCCGCTCCTCCCGCCACCTGCTGGAGGAGGCAGCCCTGGACTCCAGGGACCTGAAGCCCAGAGCCACCTCAGACTCCAACCTGGCAGATAGGGGGTGGCCCCACGCCAGCCCGTGCAGGTACCACTCTGTTGAGAGGAAGGCCAGGAAGAAGCGGTCACCCTCCCTCACCCGGAGTGTGCAGCTGGTGAGTGGACGTTGACCTGGGCACTCCTTGCCCGATCCCAGAGATGCAGCCAGGGCAGCTGGAGGAAGAGGAGGGGGAGTCAGGGAGGTCAGCGATTTACACAAAGTCATGGTGGACATGGGAGGGCCCCGGACTCAAAGGAGCTATAAGAAGAACACATTGATCCACACTGCACCTTCCCTCTCACCATTTCTCAAGCTCCCGTCTAGTTATGTGTATTCATATTTTATGTAGTTATAATTCCAGTACAAATAGAGTTTTGTGATCTGTTTTGTTTTGGCATTTGGCTGGTAAGGGTATCCGAACCCTTGACCTTGGTGTTATCAGCACCGTGTTTTTTTCTTAACATTATTTCATAGATTTTCAATGACCTACATAGTATTTGTGTTTTAACTTTTAAAAAAAAGGGTACATTACTTGATTCCAAAGCATGCCAGATAAATAATGTGTGTGGGAGCTAGGTTGCTGGGTGATAACCCTAGGATATGTTTCTTTTCTTCCAGTGCCCGGCACCGGGCCTGGCACACATAGGCCCGCCACCAACACCTGCGCAGGGATGGCTGGCCAGATACAATTCCATTTTGTGGCCACTTTGTGAAGTTCTGTTCCCCTTTAAATGGCCATTTAGGCTGTCTTTGGGTTTTGACTATTACAAACAGTACTTCAGTACCCCTATATA